CAATTCAAACAAACCGGCCATAGGAGAACGCGCTATAACCGGCGGTGCGGAGCGGAAGCCGGCCTACCCGCCAGCGAGGCAAGGCACGGCCGGCGGCAGCGCAGGTCGCCGTTGGAGAGAGGTCAATGAGCGAGCGAGAGAGGCCCCCCTGATGAGGGTGAGAGGGAGCGAGTGAGACTTGGGTCAAGGTCGGGTCAGTTCAAATGTCCCTGACCCGCGGGCGCAGCGAGGGCGCGGGGCAGGCATGGCCCACTCGCCACGCTGTTATATTTACGCACCACGTGTTAGCTCGCCCCACGAGGGAGCAACGCGCGCGGTGTATGAGCTTGCCTGTTCCATTATGTTATGCAGTATGCTATAGTGTGAATAAATAGTCAAAAAAGGAAAAGTAATAATAATTAAAAATGAGTAGTTAAATTAAGAAAGTGAAGGTCATGACGATATTGATGATAATAACGACAAAGGAAAGTGAAAAAATAGCAATAGTGATTTTCTTTCTTTTCTTTTCAAATATCATTTTAAGTAATGAAAAAAAAAAAAATGATTAGCCTGATCCAACATACCGTTGCTCACGACGAACTCACCACGACAGTCATATACCCGGAGGAGGCGCCGACGACGCCCTGCCAGCTGCGGTCGGGGGCGGAGGGCCGGTGTCTCCCCATCGCCTCCTGCGCCTCAGCAGTCCTGCAGCTGAACTCGGGGGAGAGGCCCGTCCCGTGCGGCTTCGAGGGGCGCGCGCCCGTCGTCTGCTGTCCGCCTCCAGCGGGTGAGTCGGTGGAGGACTTGACATCATTCTGTCGCTTCATTTGTTCTGAAGACTTTGTCGACGATGCTCTTTGGTCGTGGATTATCGCGTACGTGTATTTTCCCTCCAGATGATAACGGCAAGGCAGGTGACCTGCAGGCCCTCCAGGTGTCAGCTCCGGCTGTAGACTTCGGTAAGGTTGTTTCAGAATGAGAACTTGTTTTACGGTAGGACATTTTTCTCTCTCGCATTGTTTACCTTTGTTGGCCTTTCTCGCACTTTTACAGTACTGTTACTTGTGAATTCTTAAAACGACACTCGGTGATGGTTCAACATGCTCCATCTCTCTCTTATTATATATATATATATATATATATATATATATATATATATATATATATATATATATATATATATATATAGGGAGGGAGAGAGAAAGGAGAAAGAGAAGACACACACACACGCACACACACACACACACAACACACACACACACACAACACACACATATATATATGTATGTGTGTGTGCGATATATGTCTTCTCATTCTCCTTTCTCTCTCCTTCCCTCCTTTATCCCCAACAAACATTTAAAAAAAAAACAACACATTCGGCCAAAATCCCATCATTTCCACTCCCTCCACACCAATCCTCCCACTTCCTCTCCACCTTCAACAGAATGTGGCGATTCCACTCCCGTAGAAGTCCCCTTGGTCTTCGGTCTGAGCCGGGTCTCCAGGAGTAACCTCCAGAAGGATTCTTTGGCTACTGTGGGCATTGCCCCGCCGGAAAACGTCCCTGAGGTTGTAGGTGGCTTTCCGGCGAGGCGTGTCTTGGCCAAATACACGGTGAGAGCAACGAGGAACGCAGTTACAATGACATGACGTAAATATGTATAAAAATATAAATCGACAGATTTGAGATTTATAGAAACCCCAACGATAATCTCTCTCCGTGTGGCTGAATCATTTTCCCTTCATTTATAGGATCAAATTTGTTCATTTTCGTCCTACTCACTTGGCCCTTAGGTAGGCCGTGACGTCACCAAAGGCCATGGGCTAACCTGCCTATGAGACCAAGTGAGTGGGACGAAAATAAAGTGGTTGGAGTGAGACATGTATTCTCTCTCATTAACCAGGAGGGAAATGTAGTATTGAGAATATTGAAAATATTTAAGCTGCTTGTGTTGTGGGTGTTATTTTTGTTGAATCGTATTTTATTTATTTCTACTTGTTGATTGATTCATTTATTAATTGGCTTGAGGCAGACAGTAAATGGCATATTCACGCTGCCAGAATCACCAGACAAGTCAAGATTTTAATATTTTAAAGACGATCAGTGCTTCGTCAAGAAAATTACATCGCTTGAACATGGTTCTAGCTGAAATATCCAGGAAGCTAATTAAGCAAAACAGCGGACGCCTTTTAAGTAGTTCCTCATACAAGACGATTTAATAGGAAACCAGCAATTTTAAGTAGTTCCTCATACAAGGCGACTAAATAGGAAACCAGCAATTTTAAGTAGTTCCTCAAACGCATTTTACAAAATAGGAAACCAGCAATTTTAAGTAGTTCTCAAATTTTACAAGACTATTTAACAGAATAACCAGCAATTCCGATGGTTTGACAGGCGCTCGTTGGGGAGGACTCGAGAGGGACCACTGACTGGTTCTGCGACGGATCCCTCATCAACGCCCTGTGGATTCTGACCGCCGCCCACTGCTTCCAGAGGAGGCGAGTCAGTTTTTTATAT